GCGGCACTGGCGGTAGCCATTAAATTATCCGAGATCTCTCGGGATCTCATATTCATATTCAATACCTCACACCAACCTTTCATCGCATCCATCCATCACGATCGCCATACCATCCTAATTCACAATTCACACAGTCCTGTTCGAAGGGAACCTCCACTGAAAACCCTTTGCCACACTTTCAGGAAAGACGGAGCAGATGCATCAGCAGGCCATGTGGATATGGACAATGCTGCAGGGAAGGCCAAAAGGAAGCCAAGAAGCCGTCAGAAGCCAAACCACATAGATCGTCAACACGACTCCTCTCAACAGGACGCATTCCGGGCAAAGCACTTCCGCTTTCACCCCCCGCAAAAAAATCAAAATTTCAAGACCTGCAGAAACCCCAAACTCCGAAGTTACCAAATCGTCCCCCTTCTCCCTTCCGATCGCTCCAAACAACCACATCGCACGCGCCACGTAGTCTGTGAAGTATAACTTCCTGTCAAGTCTGGATGCCCTATCGAACCACACATGTCACGGCTGAAGTTCAAACAGTTCAGGTCTAGAGAAGTTGCAGCCTCAAGTCGGAGGCGTCAAACTGGAAGGGCTCCTGGTAGCTGGTAGCACGGAAGATTTAGGATGTTGAGGCTGTAAACCTGCTAGTGCCTGGCTTCACTCCCATGCCAGCCTGGAAGAGCCCCAGGCAAATGGTGCCTAGCACTGGCCTAGGACGGCGTTGATGTGCTTTCTTTCTATCCCATACGCTGAGAGGGGCTTTTTGACGCATTCTTCATCTTGCCATGCAATAAGTCTTGGGCAAGGAAGCCTGAGCATCCGGCAACACAGAGGCAGCAACCGACATCGCAAGGAAACCGCTACCACTGCCTGATCAATTTTTCAGATTTTAAGAATTTGGAGTTGTGCCTTCTGGGAATTTCATACATGGTAGCATTGGGCCTAGCATTCCTTTCATGTCGCACTGGTGCTTCTCTTCGCAAGCCTCACAGTTTCTTGCGGCAGAACTTTGCCACATGAAGAAGTATCCATGCCGGTACCCACCTGGACTTTGTGCCATTCCTTGTCAGCCTTGTCGACGCACTGGTGTGTCTTGATGCATGCCTAAGCATTTGCAAGCAAAAAGTTTCTTTGTCCAAGACGATTTGCACCCGTATCGGCAAAGTGCTGGCTCGTCATCCTTTGTCCGGCATAAGTCGAAACAAGCCTTCAGGGACTCTTGCTGCCACAGGAGGAGCAGGCTCTGGCACTGTAGAGTCTGCATCTTTGAGCTGTTCGGCCCCCTTGAGCTAGAACGTGCCTCACCGTGGCCGCCGCACTCAACGTGGCGGCCTCCAAGTTCAACGCAGCCGCCACCTTGCTTGCAATTGGCCCACCCTTCCCTCATCAAATCCCTGTTTGGTTGCAGTGACGTCTCGCTGGTCCAGGCTTCCCTGCATCAGCTCGACCGAGGCCACTGCTCAAAGGTAATGCTTCTCGCGCCGTAGAAACACACCAGGCAAGGATCCGGACCCGGGAAAGGTTGCAGAAAAGCTCTGCGGGCGGGGGTGGTTCCAGGTGAAGATCCATCATGCGGCAACCCATCCAGCTTAAAATAAAACGCTCAAAGCTCAGGGCTTGACTGAAGCAGCCTGGGGCCTAGCTTCCAAGGCTCAAGCCGAGCTGGTGCAGAGCTTAATGACTGCAGGACGGGGCCGTGCTGTAGACATACAGAACTGGACCAGCAGAGAATATTGAGTCGCGAAAATCGCCGAAAGATAATTCATCATTTTGGACTACGTCGACAACGCAGCAGCAATCGCCGGGCCAGGGGCAAGAAAGAGGCGGCAGGCTGCTGTGGAGTAAAGCTTTGGACTGGAGTGGATTATCAGATTGGACCAGCCGGGGGTGGAGCTTTTGGTTGCTGCATTCCATTCAACTGCAGCCTGCCCGGCTCGACTCCTCCCGAAACTCTTGCCAGGCAAGTTAAGCTTGATTGACAGCTTGCATACTTCAGTCACAGATGTCTGAGGGCTTTGCCGCAAGCTTGCTTGCATTCCTTGACAGCCATGATGCTGCCTCAATCATCTCAATTGTTGGAAGCGGCTCCTTAAATACTAACTCTCATCTGAGATGCCAACTGGCTGTCAACAACAAACAAAGCCCAGAAAGCCCCCAGAGGAAGAAGCCAGCAAGGGCCTGAGGTGATAGAGATCTTTCTCCTTCCGCTGTTGTCACTTCACTTGTCCTTGCCAGTAAGATGCCCACTGTCGAGCTGCAACCACTGCCAGCAGAGGGCAAGTACTTGTCCAAGTTCAGTTTTCGCTCCATGGCGCTGTTGGAGCTGCCCAAAACAAACCTGCTTAAGAGCTTGGCTCAGCCAGGAATCGCTGAGTCATGGCATGAAATGTCATGCTCTTTCTGCAAACAGAGCCGGCGGCCATGATGCACGCAAATGCGGCAAACAAAAGCTTGTAGAATACTTGCGTTGATGGCAACGCCCAACAAACATCCCAGGATTGTAACTTGAACTTGAGCGAGGGCGGCGGCTCTTTGTCGCTCGCCTCATAACCTGGGTGTAGGGCTCGCACGTGATCAGGTCTAAGAAGTCACCAGACAGAGGTGCTGAGGCAAGCGACGAGCGAAGGCGTCACTTATGTCCTCGACGCTTGGCCTGCAAGACGAGAGGGCAACTTGGACGGCCTCCATGGGACTTTCACCAGAAGCCCAGGGCCGAGCTCTTTGTCGGCCCGCAAGATCTGGCAGGGATTACTTTTCCAATTCCAAAGACCACCAGCAGCAACACCGCAAGGTTAGCTCAAAGCAAGAGCGTTACTAGGAATTTCTCCAACTTTTGTGTTGTTGGCTATTGTTAGCCTCGTTGGTCACCACGCTTCCACCAATTAGCTCCCGCTGAATGGCCACAATCCAGGGTCCCTGCAGGTGTGAAGGCCAAAAAGCTGCTCCAAATGCATTGAACATCTTGGGGATACGATATCCAGGTTACCAGCGCCTCACCATCAGGACAGATCTGCCTGAATATGATGCTGTTGTCCGGCCACTTCCTCAAATTCAAACCGACATCATGCAGGTGATGAAGGCGCTATGAATAGCTTGCGGAAATTGTCTAGGTCAGCACAACACTGCAACCTCAGCTGCCTTGCAGTGCATGCTGAGGCAGTAGACAGCATAAGGATGCTGCTTGCTCTTCAGAAATCGCACGTGATACGACGGCTCGAACTCCTTCTGCAGATACTCGAGCAACCTTAACAAAGCTCATTTAAGCCCGTCCATTACTTAGACTTAGGCTCACCCAAGATCGAGGGAGCTCTCAATGAACAGTCTCAAGCTCTCTTGATCGGCATCATCCTGCTCTACGCCTTCTCTCCGTGTTCACCTGCTGGGATGGACGCCTGGGTGGCAGCTTTCGCGCCTTGCGGCTCTTGCTGCCTGGCCGAACTAAAAACACATTGGCCAACGTGGATTTTGCGAGAATACTGCTGCTATCTGCTGCAAACGGCTACGGATCTGCACATGGCAGCAGAAGACAACATGGACACGGCCGGCCATGAATTCGAGCATTGAGAAGAATGATGCCCATCCTGAACACGGGAGGCAGGCAAACACTCGGGCCTGAAAACCAAGATCAAGCTGAGCAACGCAACCTTCCTGTTATGCCCTGTCACAGCTCAGGTGGCAGCTGATCTCCCGCATCTTTGCTCAAGTCCGCGATGGTCCGAAGCTGATCCTCACATCCGGACTAAAACCCAAATCCATGTATGGCGTTGACTGTTTCAGCGCAAAAGTGAACGGGCCCCTTTTGGGGATGTCTCTTAAGCGCACACAGCTTCCTAGCCCGCATGAGGTCAGAAGGTCCAAATGCAGGACCCATGCCCGTATTCAACTTTCAGTCATGAAGCACGAAATCTCGAGCGACTGCATTCTACGAGTATCTCCTTGCCTAGTCTTCGACATCTTCAACCCCCAACTGAAGCCACATGCTCGGAGTTCTTCTTCTTCTTCTGCGATGGCTTCTGTGGTCTGAGCACACTTTAGGATCTTTAGGGGCTACAGGCATCCCTTCCTTCTTTCATACAGGAGCTGCGAGGTCCATGCCCTCACTCACCCTATTGCTTTCTGTGCTGGGCAGATCACCAGCTCGGGAGCCACAACAACGAGGCACTTGCAGTCCAGATCCTGTCGCGCATGCTCGATCAAGTACAAACCTCTGTGGCATCAGGATTAAGCATTAAGCCCAACAGCGGCCAACATCAGGTGAGCAGGCCTCAAGTTTTTTGAGAAACTGGGATGGTCCAGACACCTGCAGGTCTGAGTGGCGCTCACATGCAATTACTGGGATCCATGCTCCAGCAATTTATTAACCGACCCGTGGCACTGCACGCGTTTTTCTGCAGCATCGAGTCAGGGTTCAGGCTTCTCAGGTCCATCGCCAGAAGCCACCAGCGTTCTCCGATGCCACATTGAGGTGAAAAAGAACTCCAAAGTTCCATGAAGTCACTTCATCAGGCCAGAGACCCAATCGAAATCTTCGTCCTTAATTTCACACTGAGCAACTCAAAAGCTCTATACGTAAGGCTGTGTACAGCACCCTGGGAACGCTCTTCGAAAGCATGAGTCCTAGCTCTAAAAATTGTGTTTCCTGAATAAATAATGTTGCCCAAACCTTCTCAGCTTGCTGAACACACAAACATCTCAGCTGGGGATCGGCGTTGCCTTGGTAGTCCTGCACGCATGTTGGGGGGGTGTTGAACACAGTGTGCTGTATCCGAGTATTGAAGAAGGGCTGATGCCATGCTGTGCACAGCATGCCATCAGTCATCAGGCACTGGCACCATGCAACACCACGCGCACGTCTCCTCCTCCTCATCCTCCTCGTCTTCCTCGTCATCGTCATCCTCCCCAGCGAGCTAACGAAATCACAACAGGCCAGCCAAAAGCTTATCACGCGCAATCACCCCGGTGCGAACCTCGTCGTCAAAATCCTCATCCGGATCTATGAAGTCATCGTATGGATCCAGCGCGTTTTGGCTTGGGATTGCCTGGATTCCGGTGAGCCATGAGCTGACACAGACATCCGCAAATCACAGGCACTGCCCTCACAGTATCTTCACACAATTCTGTGAATTCAAGCACTCCCCAGCCTGCCCCTCCGGCAGTGCCACACCTCCCACGGGCACAGAAAAGTACGGCTTGGAGCACATGTTACACCTCTCAAAGCAAATACAGCTTGAGAATCCCTGCCTGTTCGAGAAGGCGAATTCTCGCTGGGCGGCGGGAGCATCTTTCGCCTCCAGGTCACCTTCATCCAGGTTCAGATCTGGCCAGCGGGTCTATCCCAGATGCACACATGCAATTTGTAATCTTTCTGCAGACCACAAACTTGCAGCCTGCAGCCTGGCGCAACGCTAAGCTTATGTGTCGACATGTCTTAGCTGCAACCAAGCCACCTTTCGCAGCACTTTGGCTTCAGCCTTATTGGCTCCGCTCGCACAGAATTCTATCTGTGAAAGGACCTAGTCAGAGCCACCAGGCCACCGGCCTTGGTGTAAGGAAACTCTTTGTCATACCTGAGTTAAAGGCTTCATGTTCACGTGACAGCTGCATACTAAAGTCAATCACGGAGGAGAGGATGAATGTGTGGCTAGAGGCTACGGGTGATAAACTTCAATAAACTTTACAGTGGAGGGAACGAAATTCAATCCTGGCTGCGTGTACTTTACCGGCACGTAGTTCAAGCTCTCGTAAAGATCATTCGCAGCTATCTGATCATCCTCCACATGTAGACAGGCCTCACTGTCACCCCAAATGTCAGTCAGTAGCCGTTCGCTGATGGCCATCAGCTTCCGGGCAAGGCCACGACGTCGGTAGCTTGGATCCACACAAAGGTTCAACACATACGGTTTGCTCGCAACTCCTGGCTTTGTTTTGGCACCTGGTGCACGGATGCGGCCGTCGTCCGGCCACAGCGACAGGTCCACTAAACCAATAAAGGCTCCAGTCGGCTCGTCAAGGCGCTCCAAAGCCAGCACCAAGCCCAGATCCGGCCGCTCCGTGGAACCCGGAACTGCTGGCCTGGCAAGCAGCGGCCTTGGCGAGGCAGCATCAAGGCCGACCAGGCTGCGCCGGGCGCCAAGTCTGCCGGCAATGCCTTTCTTCACGCTTTCCAGCTCGCCTTCCTCTACTTGGAACACTTGAGACACCAAAGCTAGGCAGCGATCCAGGTCCAAGAGATCGGCTGCCACAACGCGGAGACCCTCGTTGACCTCGAGCTCTGGCCAAGCCAGGTCTGGACCCAGCAGCTCAGCCAACGGAACCGAAGCTCGTGCCACGCGGGCTCGGGATCTACGCACGCTCCAGTGAGCCTTGAGGAACCCCGCGAATGCGACAACAGCACAAGCCTCAGTCCATTCTCGGGGACGTGCAGTCCGGCTCCTGGGCCTCCCAGGAAATCGACATGTCCTGCCTCAGCTTCAAATCTTTGACTTTTTGATTTTTTTTGGGACCTGTGCGTTGAAGTTCAACAATGTAGACTGCGTGCAGAAATTGCTGGACCGATGGAAGTGAACGATGCTGCTGCGTTGACGTCCCTGATTCAGCACAGCCTTCAAATACCTTCCCCCTGCTGGGGCAATAGTGCTAAACGAGCACAGTCCACACAACACATCTGCGTCATCTAGACCCACATCATCATGGCAAAGCTTGGCCTAGGTTCCGTGAACGCAATGCCACTCTAGTACTTACTGTACTACCAGGGACTCATTTCCAGGTATCAGACGGTGCTGTGCCCGGAACGACCTCCTCTGTGCTTTTGCTTCTCCGACGTTCATCATCTTTGACAAAGGACTACTTTAGGCCGCCAAACCCGTAGCCGAATCTCCACAGCTCGATATGTTGCAACTCCACATGCAGGTGGGGGCTTTGCCACTTTGGGCGTGTAGGGCCTGTACAAATATCCCTCAACTTAAACTTTGCCCCACACTTTCTGACCTCCAATACCCGCTCTGTTAAGGCCCTTCGACTTTGGGTCTTTCAGGCTTGTCAAGTGTCAAGTGCTTTCAAATGTGCGACTGCACCAGGGAAACTACTCGGGATACGCATGGGCGCAGCCTTCAGGAGTCAATGCGATGAGACATCAGCTAAGTCCATACCATTGCCCGTACAACATGAGTGTGTTTCATAAGCATGTTGAACTGCTTTGCACCGGATTAGAGAAGTGCATGTATCACTCTAGGTTTCTGGGGCTTGTCCAACCCTGCTCTTGTGGGCACCATACCTGTCATTGTTCTCTGAACTGAGACGTGGAACATTCCCGCTGCAAAGTTTCTCATCAAATGTGTTACTCTCTGGGGAGTCTCTGGGATTTGAAGGCCTCTGGATTTTTACTTGGTTTCCTGTATGTGATCCCTGCAACTTGGAAAGAGACCCCAGGCCCATGAATCAAAAGCTCTGTATGTGGTTTGGGGTTGCGGGTGCCATGCAAGAAATAATCCATGAAAGAACAGCACGAGCTGCCGTCCCTATTATGAAAACTACCGGTGGGCGATGTCCGTGTCGTGGAGTTCCTAGTTAGACGGCCGTAAACAAGTTGCGGTTTGCTTCCAGGGCTTCAGGTTCTGAGGCATCCGGCATAACTTTCAAATTTTGGGCCTTTAGCAGCTGGTGGATGGCAGGCATGTCTCAACAACTCTTGGCTGAAATCTAGAAACTTCAACCAACAAGAATGAAGCCACAAACAATGAAAGAAGCAATCAGCAAGGAAATGTTATCGTACATGCATCTCCCCTTTGCAGAGCTGACATACACAAGCTTCCTGGGACTTGCTCTTTACCAGACACACCTATTCCGCTAGGAATACCTAAATCCTGCCATGACTCCAGAGCCGGATGAGCCAGGGAGAGCAGAGTGCGCAGAGTGCGCAACCAGAACCACCGGCATGTCCAGGCGTCCCGCTACACATGGCGCGAACATGCGCAAATTGCGCCACTAGGCTGGAAGGCCACAGCAAGTTTGAAGACGTAGCTCAGCTGCTTCTGTTGTACTGAACCCGTGGACGTGTTGAGGGTCCCAGTCTCAGGTTTGATTCAAAGCAACTGCAGCTCTTGAAGGTCACCTGCGGCATGGTACCAAACAGCGCTGCCTTTGCAGGCAAAGCTGTTGCATGTTGTCGCGCCATGTCGCGCCTCTGCTGCGAAGGCTGACTTCTTGGAGCTGGTGAAGGAGATGACTTTGGCCTGTCTGGCCTGCCAGACTTTCAAGAGCTGATCAGAGCCCGACTTTGCTGAGCAAGGCACAGCACTCTCAACATCCTTTTTTGTATTAGCTGCTCACTAGCGTGTCTTTGCACTGTGCCATCAAGGACAGAGTTCACGCTTATTCGGGTGAGACGTTGCTTGCAAGTTGCACAGTGATCCACTTTGACGAGCCAACTTCATGACGAACTACACAAGGAGTAATCAAGCTCTTGAGACCCAAACCTTTACCGAAGTTGGGACACAATGCGGAAGCCGTGCAAATTGCTAAGTTGTGATCGAGACACCTGGCAGATGGACTCGACTCAGTGCGGCACACAGCCACCATCACCTGCAAAAAAGGCAAACCACTGGTCGTAAAGTATCCAATTTGATGGAGGCCTGTCTGCGCTTGTGGCGCGTGGGCGAGCTGCCTTCGCAGGTGGCGTTGCGCTCGGTACGCTGCGGGCACGGCGATGCGTGCGGAACTGGCACATAGGGCCCAGCCGACAATGGTCAAAAATGGTCGAAATATGTCGAAATGTGAGGCAAGAAGCACAAGAAACATCCTGACGTCGCATGCCTCGCGGGTTTGAGCGTACCGTTGGCGGTGCTCGGCCAGGCGCTGGCGCTGCAATAGGGCTGCCTCACAGCCACTCTGCTCAATTGAACCGCGTGGAACCTCTGGCCCCAGCCTCCTCTGCTGCAGCATGGAACGACAAAGGACTCATTGGCTCCTGGCCACCATGACACTTGCACAGCTTTAACTTCACAAGCCTCTGTGCCACCCAACCAAAGAACTGTTTTTGATTTTGCGCACAATGGTTCTGACTTTAGCCAAGCAGCAGGGGCAACCTGCCATAGCAAAACTGCACACAAGCTGCTTGAAACAAAACGTTGGACCAGCCTGCTCGTCCAGCTTCGACAGCTGGTTCATGCCCCTCTTCAAGATTCCCTGCAGAAAATCTGCTGAGACAGCTCCACCAGGAGCTCTGAAACTCCCTACTGGATTCAAGACTTTGAGGGTTGCTGAGCCCTCGGCTAAAGCTGAGCGGATCTGCAAGATCATTGCGAAAGAGGCCAGGCCGAAGATGAACCACGTACCTTAAGATCGCTTTCGGTATGTACATGTGTATGCATGGATGGCATAGCTCTGCTCGCCTCACTGTTTAAAAAAGTTTTCCGAGTTTTCTGATCTCTTCTATTTTTCGTGCCCGGGCCACGCAGCCAGGCCCGGCTTGATGCGGCGGCCACCAGCGGAGATGGCCCAGACAAGAAAAGCCAGTCTTGTGCAGCCTCTGTTCGGTCTCTTCGGACTCGTCGGCTTTCAAGGTGAAAATGTGCCCAGTGGGACAAAGTGCTGGCCAGGCCACGCTGAAGGCCTCCGACACGCCGGGGCTGGTCTTCCTGACAAAGGACACATTTTGCAACCCGAGCAGTAGATGTGCAGTGGGTTTATGAGGAATTTGCAGCTTCGCACATTCGCCGAGTGTCAACAAAGGCACATCCACCACGGGCTCATCTCCTCGAGAGGCAGCTGCCAAGCAAGCTGAGCTCAACCTCAGATTGGGTTTCAAGCGCAACTGAAGCGCTTCTCCATGCCCAAAATGTATCATCATGCATCAAGCAATCTCTGAGCTCAGGCAGCGTCTTGCTTGCCAGCTTCAGGTTTTAATGTCGTCAAGGCAGTGACCAAAAAACATGCTCGTAGGTTTAGTGATAGGTGGCAACAGGATTTGGCGGATCACCATCTTGTGGAATGCCTCTCCGCGAAATCTGCATACCAAGACAGAAAAATACAAGGCATCCTGCCTTCTCCAAAGGCAGCTGGCTTCCGGACTTAGGAGTTTCTTTGAGGCGAAATCTGCCACAGAGCCTTGTAACCTTCCTGCATTTGTCATAGACAATGACACTTGGAAACACCGATTTGCTGCATGCAGCCGAAAGCATCCAAAGCAGACCCTCGCGCATCAGAACACTGGCCTTTTTGAATTGCGCGCTGCATTGGGCGACCGATGTGCTACAAATGCACGAATAGTCACCATTGCTGCTAGGAACACGCAACCCATGGCACTGTGCAACGACTGGCTTTGTACAAGCTGCACGCTGCAAGTGACGGGAGAAGCACCACAGTATCAAATGCAGTCATGCGTACAAAGATTGCCCCATCATTCTAATTACGTCGAGCTTTGGCTACCCCAGCTCATCAGAACCTCGGTCTTGGGCCTGAAACTGCTGACTGATCACCCGTCACATCCCGTCACTCTTCTTTGGCAGCGTTACGCGTAACCACCACGGCCACGGAGGAATTCATCTGGCGATGGCAGAGTATCCTCACCAACAGGAGCATCATCACCTTGTCTTGGCCGATCAATCTCGTGTCCATGCTGGCTGCACTGCCTGCGGCTTCCTCTGTCAGAGCACCGGACCGCAGAGAAATCCCATCCAAAGCTCCTGGCAAAATGCATAATGAAAGTTGCAGGATGTTCCCAACGAAGAAGGAAAATACACAGACTGATTGATGCTTTACTCCTCAACCTTCTACGCTTGACCTTGAAATACTACATCATTACATCATGAACAGCATGCAATGTCAGCCCTGTTTCGAGACTGCTGAAGGTCTCAGTTTTCCTTCATAGCGACGCAATCGCGTGAGTGCTTTTGCAAGAAGAAATTCCTTTTACCTCAACATACCTGGGATGTTTGCGTCTCCAGTCCAGACACACACCAGTACATTGAAGACCTGTCCGTCAAGAAACGACTCTTATCTGCACCTCATGCTTCGCTGCTTCTCCCGCAAGGCCAGCCTGGCATGAGCTGTACATCCACAAAGCATCCAACTGCTCACCTCGAGGCTTCGAATTCAACAGCCACAGCCTTCAGCTTCGCAGCATCCACACCAATACCTGCCATCACTTCTTCGGCCCTACAGTGGCCTTTACCAGACCTTACCCTGCTGACCCCTGCTTTTGAAGCCTTGTTTCCGGAGGCCATCCAGGGCTGCGCGCGGATCTGGCAAGACAACCATCGTCCAGGTGAGCAGTCGCAGCTGACATGGTGCCAACCCATATGGACGATAGGCAAAGGCCGGTGGCCTCCGCGAGTAGCCTGCAAGACTTGCCCCAGTTGCGGAGCTTCCTGGAAAACAAGCGAGGTCAGTCACGTCAGCTGAAAGCTCACACCTCGCCTCTTTGCACGTTGCCTGCTTTGAGTATTGATGGCATTGCGAGCCTGACGAGAACGACAATTCAGCTTCAGTTAAGATATCCCTTGAGCGCGAGAAGCTGTTTCTTGCAGGATGCCTGAGTACCGTTGCGCAATTTCAAGGATGTCCCGCCGCCTGAACAACATTTGATCACAAGTCCATGCGGTCGCTGGTGAACTGCCAGCCCGGCCTTGCTTTCAGCTTGTCGATTTGCGCTTTAGCCTGCTAGAAACATTAAATTTGCCTATCGGATCCTATCGGATTGCAGCGGAAGTTGGCACGAGAAGACAGCCTCCTCCACGCTTGGCCTCAGCAAAGATGCATAGATTCATGGATGTCAATTCGGCCAAATAAGAACCAAAAGAGCTAAGGGGCAGCACAATCTCATCAGCCTTTCAGGCCGAGAACATGGGTTGGCTAACATCGCCTGGGAGGCCAGCCTGCGCATTCTCTGAAGGGAAGAGATCAGATAGTTGAAGCGCAACGCTCACCTGGGGCTTTTGCATGCCGAATGCTGCAGCATGCTGCAGCATCGACGTGAACAAGTTTACGCCCTGCCACCCATCTGAGCCAGGCGCATCACTTCCACAATTGTCCTTCTGCAGGTCTATGAACTCCTGGCTAGGCGCAGCGGCAGGAGGATCTGACTAGCTATCCTGATAAGTTGGCGAGGGTACACAGGTGAGACATTTTCTCATGACCTCCCGCCAGTGTACACTTGCCGGCCCTCATGAGGCACCCTCGCCGTTTTATCAAAAAACGAAAAGAAACAGTTGTGTCGTTAAACCAGCAAACATCCCAAACCCAAAACCATAAACCCTCGGCCTACACCAGCATCCCAAAACCCTAAAACAAATCGCACGATAAAACAAAAATCTAAAGCCCTCAACATAAGCCTGAACTCCCCAGACCAAAAGCCCAACGCCAAAAAGCTCGCCGCTCTACTGTGAAACAAGGAAACACATGCGGTACTGCACCTGAACCGTGGAATAATCGCCCTAAAACTCTGAGACCCAAAGGGCTAGAAGCCCAACTGCAGCTTGAATAAATGATCTTCCGCCCTAACCAAGGAATCCTTTGCGGCTGCATAGCCTGATGATACTGACATTCATTCTAGACGGCTCACCTTGTGAGGAGAAAGTAGAATGAAACACCACAACAGGGAGAGCTGTATGCATGCCCTATGTGGTGCAACCAGGACCGGCACAGCTGCACGGGTCACTGAGCAACAAGTTGCCTGGTCCACTTCCGATTCGGACGTCGAGCAATCAGAGGACTCATCCTGCATGCTTTACTGCTGTGATTGTTCCTGGAACCACACTCATGCAAAGGAAGATGTTTGACAATAGAACTCCTCAGAGTTGACAGCTGGAACCTGCGCTGAGGATTAAGTCAACAACAGTCTGCCGATATGCCCATACATGAGACCGCAAACTCTGACACTTTGACATCAACTTAGTGTCCAGCCGTCGCAGAATGGTCCTGGATGGTGATGACGCCTCGGCTTCGCTGCCGCGTGAAGCTGGATGGGATGCTAAGAATCTCCAGTCTCAAGTCACTTGTCCTCAAGTCCGGCTGAGACTTGGACCTACGTCCTCCCAAGAGAAATCGTCATCGTCTGTCGCTGCAGGACCAGCCAGAGTCATGGCGAATTTGAAGTTCAACGTAAGAAAGACCCTGCTGCTGCGTGCATACTCCCGCTCAGGAACGTCCCGTAACCCCAACAACACTGATGGCTGAAAAAAGCAAGTGAAAATGACCTTCAGTTGTGTATGGTTGTGCGGCTAATCTCGTCTTCAAGCCGAGC